GACATAGCATGTTGAAGAACTGTCCAAATGATCTTTGGATTCGAAATCTAATCTGTTAACCCTCATAACGCAACCAAGGCTGTTTTCACTTTTCTTAATATGTTTTTCATTCAGAACACAGTCAGAACATTGTGAGCGTTTTCATATTTGGTATTATTAAGAGTTTTTTTCTTTTTTCTTATTAAAGTTTGTATTATTTTTAAACGCCTTCTTGATTGAGATGTGTTTATTATGTTGGTGTTTTCTATGAATATGTTGCAGATAATAATAATAATAATAATAATAACCGAGCCGAATTAAAAAACAATATCAGCCATAAAGACCTTGATGACCCTGTGGTGCAATTCAGTTTCAACATCTTTAACTTGACCATTAAGCGAATGGACGCGCAAATAAGAAAGGTTCTAACCTGCCACCGCATGCCTCATCCCAAAGCTGATGTTGATTGTCTGTATGTGCCCAGATCTGAAGGAGGCAGAGGATTAGTTCAACTAGAACTGTCTTAGAAAACAATTGGCCTTCAAAGATACCTGGAAACTACAGAAGACTAGATGATGACATGTGTCAAAGAACTACTCACAAGTAGTAAGAGACATTAAATATTATTAATAAAGGAAGCATACAAGTTCAAAATGGAGTTTCAAATGGGTGAAGAGACACAAGTAAAACATAATACTCCGACTGAAGCTGCAAAATACTTAAAAAGAGAGCAAAGAAAAATGCAACTGACCAGATATAGAAACGATGGCAAGATAAACTGCTTCATGGCCAATATTCTGTCCGTATCAAACAGGCTGATGTCGACAAACCACCAGTGGCTACGTAGTGCAGAGATAAAAGCTGAAATTAAGGTATTTATTCGTGCTGCACAGGACCAATGCTTGTTAACTAAGAATTACCAAGTGAACATATTGAAAAAATGTGTTAGCCCAAAATGAAGATTCTGTGATAAATATCCAGAAATAATTGAACATCTTGTATCAGGTTGAAGGGTATTGGCACCCACTGAATATAAAACCCGGCATGACAGAGTGGTCCAATATCTGTAAAGGAAAATCTGACACTTCTACGGGAAGGAAACTGAAAGAAATTGGTATGAACACCACCCAGACCCGGTAACAATTTTATGGAACTTCACAACAGACACAGACAGAACAATCCGGGCTTATCGCCCAGACATCGCTATTAAAGACTGCGAACAAAGAAAAATGCGATCTTACTGATATGGCAGTCCCTGCAGACTGCAATGTATCTTTGAAGATCTTCAAAAAGCCATCAAAATACAAGGACCTTGAAATCGAAATCTCAAAAATGTGGCACATGAGACCACCAACAAACCCCATTGTAGTTGGAGCCCTAGGATTGGTTGGAAAAGATTCCAGTAGACTCATTGAAGGGATCCCTGGAAGTCCATGCCTTCAAGAATACAAAAAAAAATGTCCTCACGAGTACAGCCGAAGTATTTATGAAGGGCTTTATCTATGTAATATATGTGTTTTTATTTTTTTTTTAAATTGCTCAGTGGAAAATGTCATGGTGCCATTTCTGGGCTTAGGTCTCTGGTTGGGACCCCGAAAGAAGTAAGTACACACTAGAAATCAAAGGAAATAGCAACAACAACAACAACAGCAGCAGCAACAACAACGACAACAATAATAATATTAATAATGATAATAAACCGTCTTTATTTAATATCAAATTATATATATATATATATATATATATATATATATATATATATATATATATATATATATATATATATATATATATATATATACGCAGACTTTAAACGAAAGTGGGGACTTACCTATAAGTTACTCTTCCGCCCATTTCCACTATTTTTTTTTTCATGACAATAAGAGGAAGTAAAAAAAGAAAAATACAAAAAAAATAACAGAAAAAAAAAAAAAAAACATATTAATACCAAATCAATAAAACATCAGGAATACTTGTGTCCATCTCCCTAAAAAAGAAAATTGAAATTCATCTACATACACATATCCAGTGTGTTTGTAGAAGGAAATAAAGAACTGACATCGACAAGACAAGAAAATATTTTAATAATTGTTTATAAGAGCAAAATACAGATTTACTTTGAATCCAATATTTCCTATTATATTTTTTAAATGAGTAAAAAGAAATAATTTTAATATTCATAGCATTTGAAATTTCATTGAATTTCTTACATATCAAGACAAAAAAAAGGACATACTCCGTAGTTTAGTCTTAGCAAAAGGAGGTGGGTATCCATTTGGCATCAATTTCTAGTGAAATATCCATGTATTTTACTACGAGTTTTAATAAGGTTTAACAGATACATAGGCGCTTTATTATTTTTTATATTCAGCATTAAACCGAGTCTATGTAGCATTCACCTGTTCTTCAAAATGTTATTTTCTTTTAAAAAGGCACTGAAACTATCATATTTGGATAAATTGAAAGCGAAACGAATGCATCTGTTCTGTACTTTTTTAATTTTATTTTACAATTGTTTACTTACATTTTGTATAAGAAGATCAAGATAATTAAATTTCATTCTAACAAGATTCCCCACCCCTGCTGCTTTTTCGTATCTCAATTAAGCTGAAAAATCAAATCATCCTTGATAATGGCTAAACGTATAGCCGAAAGCGCTCGGAAGCATAAAACATTTGGACAGTTTTTACACACTCTTTGTCCAGAAAAGAAAACTCTTGTTCGAACACAAGAAAAATTAAATAAAAAGCTTAACTGTAGTACCTTGTCTGTCGTTTTAATGATATATATATATATATATATATATATATATATATATATATATATATATATATATATATAAGGATTCTTCGGAGCTTAGTTTACTAGAAGCATTCCATTCATTTGCTGTACCAACAATACGAAGTCCAGGCCTCACAAGCGTACAGAAAGGTGGAGAGAACAAAGACCCGGTAAATCATGATTTTGCTTTTATTGTTTGGTCGGGATTACTGAAGATTCTCTGTATGAGCTTTCCATATATATATATATATATATATATATATATAAAACATTACTTTTACGATAACTATCAGTTAAATGTTAGATATGCAATTAGGTCAGTAGGCGTTGGGAATGTTGCATAGTCACTCAAGGTTTGCCCAAGGCTTTACCGGCAAAGCGAAGTGGTAATCTTCACATCTATGAGAGAATTTGTTACAAAAAGATTTATAATATTATAATAATTGAATGACAAATTAAAAAAATTTTTTTCGTGAATGCGTTTCGTCCTTCCAAAAGATTTCCCTCAAACTAATATATATATATATATAAGCAAATATATGTAAGCAAATGTAAATGAATATAGATCCGACAGAATGAAGAAAAATTTGGAAAAAACAAACAAAAATCCTTAAATGCAATTATTTTGTTTAAAATGAATGAAATGTCGACGTCTGACGTTTCGGTTTAATAAACCTTTTTCAAGACAATACACATAAAAATTTTAGATCCTAATAGAATTCTTTTCATTTTCTTTTTCATTCAAAATAATCAAAAATTTTTAGGAATACGTTTTGAAAGCGTCGCCCATGTGACGACAACGTGACCATGCTAAACGGAAAGCTGATCATTTTAAAATTTTCAGTTATCTGTTTTGGATAAGACTTGTTGTTTATGTCCATCGTCTTTGTCAAATTGAACTGAATTGTATTTTAATGAATATTGTCTTGAAAAAGGTTTATTAAACCGAAACGTCAAACGTCGACATTTCATTCATTTTAAACAACATAATTGCCTTTAAGGATTTTTGTTTGTTTTTTCCAAATTTTTCTTCATATATATATATGTATATGCCAAATATACATTTCAAATGAATAGAATTTATTCTAAAGACCTCTTAAACGACGAAATATGTTCACATCTATCTATCTATCTATCTATCTATCTATCTATGATTACAACAGTATCTATGTATCTATGTAGGATTACATCAATTACTATCTATCTATTTATCTATATATGTATGATTACATTAATATCTATCTATCTATCGATGCCAATTTCTATCTATATCAATATTTAACTATCTACATACCTATCTACCTATAATTGCATCAAAGTCTATCATTCTATGTGCAATTACATCTATCTATCTAGCTAGCTAGCTATGTAGCTATCTAGCTATCTATCTATGCCAATTTCTATCTATATCAATATCTATCTATTAAACAATGCTAATTTCTATCTATATCAATATCTATCTATCTATCTATCTATCTATCTATCTATCTATCTCTCAGTCTTTTTCATATCTATCTATCTATCTATCATTTCATCAATGTCTATCCATCTATGTACGATTACATCTATCTATCTATCTATCTCTCAGTCTTTTTCATATCTATCTATCTATCTATCTATCTATCTATCTATCTATCTATCTATCTATCTCTCAGTCTTTTTCATATCTATCTATCTCTCAGTCTTTTTCATATCTATCTATCTATCTATCTATCTATCTATCTATCTATCTATCTCTCAGTCTTTTTCATATCTATCTATCTCTCAGTCTTTTTCATATCTATCTATCTATCTATCTATCTATCTATCTATCTATCTATCTATCTATCTATCAATCTATCTATCTATCTAGCTAGCTAGCTAGCTAGCTATGTAGCTATCTAGCTATCTATCTATGCCAATTTCTATCTATATCAATATATCTATCTATCTATCTATCTATCTATCTATCTATCTATCTATCTATCATTTCATCAATGTTTATCCATCTATGTACGATTACATCTATCTATCTATCTATCTATCTATCTATCAGTCTTTTTCATATCTATCTATCTATCTATCTATCTATCTATCTATCTATCTATCTATCTGTCATTTGATCAATGTCTATCCATCTATGTACGATTACATCTATCTATCTATCTATCTATCTATCTATCTATCTATCTATCTATCAGTCTTTTTCATATCTATCTATCTATCTATCTATCTATAAGTTCATCAATGTCTATCCATCTATGTACGATTACATCTATCTATCTGTCTATCTATCTATCTATCTATCTATCTATCTATCTATCTATCTATCTATCTATTTCACTCAATATTCAAAGTCATGAATATCCGTGTTGCCTGAATGCATTCATTTGAAAATTGATTCTCATCACCAAGTATGATTTCTGCACCAATCCATACTTATTAAAGCGTACACACTCTGCACAATCTCCTCCTAATGTCGAATTAATTTCTTCTTCAATGCGCTTCATAGAGAATAATCCGCAGTTCTATTAACGCGACTCGTTTTGCCCAACATGCCGTTTCCTTCCTGCTGACTATCCTACCTCGACAACCATTTCGAAATCTTTTTCTTTCACTCATTATTTTAAATTTTCTTTCGTTTCACCCTTCTTCTAGAGTTGTTTCTTTTCCATTTTCTCTTCGATTCTTTTTTTCATCTCCTTTTCTTTTTGTATTTTTTTCTTTCCATTTTCAAGGTAAGATAGGTGCAAATAGATGAAAATATTCTGTTGCCTCACTCTACCATTTGAGGGATTCTCTGTCTGCATTGAATATCATCCTTCGCCTTCGTAATATTTGATGCTTTCCATTGCTTTTCATAGCCGATCACTGGCACCGGCGAAAAATAATGAACCATCTCAAGGCACAATGTCGATTGATTGATTGATTGATTGGTGCATGTTTTGTTACTGTTTTATTTATTTAAAAAAACCTAAGATATTTCGGATTTTGGTCGTATTGTAGGTTAGTGGCTTACAGTACCCAGCATACTCAAGAGGTTCCATCTGCTAAGCAGTGAGCGGATTTGGCGTTGCTTAACTTTCACAACCACAAGGTAATGCTCAAAGAGTCTGGTAAAAGACATAGACAGAAAGTGAATTTTTTCTGTGAAACTAGATTTCTATGTCGCTATAGTCGGCATTCAGTTTTTTTTTTTCGTTGATATCTTGTAATTAAATCTAGCAAATGACTTGAGATAAATAAGTGGAGATATTGTAATGCACTAATCTTCTTTCCCTTTTTTTTATCATGACTTATGTAGAATTTGTATCTGTTACTTTTTTTCCGTCTCTATTTCTTCCTTTCTCTCTTTCTTTCCTTTTCTCGTTCTTTCTTTCTTTGTTTCTTTTTTGTTTGTTTTTCGTCTGCCATTGTTTCTTTCCAACCATTTTTTCTACTTTTTCTTTATTTCTTTTTTCGTTTTTCTTTCTTTCGTTATCAAGATTTCGTTTTTCTTCTCATCTAAATTTATTTTTTCCGTTTTTATACGGTCTTGTTTGTTATTTTCGTTTGAGTTTCTTTCTCAAGATAATTTTTTCTCTCCGATCTATTTTTCAATTTGTCTTTCTGGCTTTCCTTGTTGTCTTCTTAAATTATTTTCTTTCTTTTAAAAATATTTTTTTTTTATCTTATCCTTCATTATTTCTTATATTTTCAGCAAATAGCCATCATTCGATTTTTCTCGTTTTCCTTTTCAATTTTAAATTTCTTTTATTCATTTTGTTTTCTTCCTTCGGCAATATTTATCTTTGAATTATTTCTTTTTTTTTTTTAAATCTTTCTCTTTTAATTGATCTTGCTTTCTTTTTCATTTTTTCTTTCTTTTAAAAAGCTTTCCTTCTTGCCTAAATTCTCTTTCTTCCTGTCATTTCTTCATTCTTCCATTTTTTTTAAATATTTTTCTTTCTTGTTCGATTTCTGTATTTATTTATCCCTACTCCTTTTTTGATATCATTCCTTCTTTCCTTTCTCATTTGTTTTCTTTTCTAACATTGTCTTTTTTTATAGGTTTTCCCTTTTCATTTATTTATTCTTACTTTCTCGTTAATATTTTCCCTTCGTTTTTCTTTGAACTTTCTTTCTTTTTATTTTTTCTTCATTCTTGCTTATTCTTAACCATTTTTCTTGTACGAGATTGATTTAATTTGATCTTTTAAATATGTTTTTCTCTTTCGGTCGTTTTATTTCATTCTTCCTTTCTTTCTTTTATACATTTTTTGCTTAAGATTTCATTCATTATCCATTTTTTATCAACATTTTTTTTTTTTTCTTTCTTTCTTTCTTTCTTTCTTTCTTTCTTTCTTTCTTTCTAACCGATAATATCCTATCTTTCTGTAAACGAAGGCTTCTCATTTCGCTCGATTTCCCCTTGCCAACAATAGGGAACTAAAGAGATAAGGTTGTCTGATAAGAGTTGAGTAAATATGCTAATGTCATCCCAAGACCATACATTTGATTAACTCTAAGCTGCTCTTTCTTTCTTCTCGCTGAATATTTTAGCTTGCGAGCCAATTGTCGCCGTATACCTTCTATAGCAACATCCCTGACCTAGAGGACGTAGGTGCAAGATTCCTTACGCTTGGAAGCAATATTTACAACGTCACATAATATGCATTTTACAATAGTAAAATAGTAGTAATATAAGATGTTGTTCGTGTTATGGAGTAAATAGTACTTGTATTGTTCTGGAGTAAATAATACAACCCCGGTGAATAAATGAACTCGTCCATAACTATAAATAAAGAACTCCAGGTCAGAAGTAAGATGAAAAAGAATCCGTTTGGAGTCAGTTTTCCGATTAAGTAATACAGGCATCAAGGAAGGTTTGGCGAAGCATTACTTATATTAAAATTACGAAGCGCGATATAACAATGTCGACGAGGGATCGAAATTCAGCTGATTTATAAACGTCGTAACGTGGATTCGAAACTCTTACGAGTTGTAACTGGAGTTAGAAGGAATTTGGAAATTCATACTGAGTGTACAAGTACGGGAAAAATATATACTTGTTTCTTCAGAAAGTAGGTTACGGGTGACAACAAGAATTTTAACCAAATTGTTTTAAAAAATTTCTTGTGTTGAAGAAAAAGTCTCTTGAGTCTAGGAAAAAAAAATTCTTGCGAATATGGAGCAAATTTTGATTTCGCTAGTTGAAATTCAACAACAGAAACAACAACACCATCAACACTTGATAGAACTACAAAGCATCGAAGGGCAGAATCTCGTCTCGGGAAACTGACTCCGTTTTTACGTGGTCTATAAGGAATTTTTGCCCGTGCCTACGGGCTCGGATACCCCATTTTAAACTCGGCCTTGTACCACATCTTGCTGCGTGGGGCAGCGGATAAATAATCATACCGATCCAATAGCAAGTTCAGAGGAAACTTTTTGTGAAGTTAAACCGCGGAAGAATATCTTTAAAGCTGGATCTCTCTGAAACGTATTTACAAATTCAAATTGAAAATGAATGTTTAAAATTAACGACCATAAATACGCACAAAACCTTATATAAGTTTAACCGATTTTATTTTCATATAAAAGTGGCACCAGCTATTTTAAAACAAGTTATGACTACCATGCTTGCGGACAAGATTTCGCAGTAGCGTATCTGGACAAAAGTGTATCTAAAGAACAACATGGTGAGTATGTGAAAACAATTTTGGAAAAATTAAGAAGGTACACGTATTGTTTTCGCCGAAAACTAAATATTTTGGTCAAATTATTGATAAAAAGTGTCGTCAGCCAGATCCATTGAGGGCAAATTCAAGAAAAATATACCTCCACCAACAAAAGTGACTATATTACAAGTTTTTTTAGGACTGGCTATTACGATCAAATATATGTACATAATATGCATTATTTGAGAGCTCAACTGAACTATCTATTTAAAAAAAGAGTAAATGGAACTGGAATGATAATTGTCAAAAGGCGAGTGAGCAAATGAAAAAGACTTACATCAGGTTTATCATTAGCACACTACGGTTCAAAAGCAGAAACTACAGTAGCGTCAGGTGTTAGTGGGTACGGTATTGGAGCAATGAAAGTCTTTTCTCATGCTCTACGCTTGCTTCTATCCCGATGAGTAAAACTATGGGCACTCTCCTCTTCCGTAATTATTTACATCGGTGATAGAAACAAATAATTGTTCATCTCCTTGTCAACCATGAAAGAAATCAGTAATATGTATCTATATACATTATTTACATTGTTCGGACTATTGCCCTCATCTCTCTTTCGCCATATTTATTACAACGTTTCGGCCGTAGTACGCTCCGGCCTTCTTCAGGTGGTTGGAATGTCGGTCCATATAATATCAGAACAACGTTCAAAAGCTAGACGACACTTCGGAGATATGTCTTCCGAGTAAACCGCCCCATAGAGAACATGACTAAAGACTGTGTGTATGCTATCCCGTGTAGCTGCGGAAAGAAATATAAAGGGGAGACAGGCCACCCCCTTAAGTTGAGGCTTCAAGAACACCAGAAAGCTGTAACACGAGGGGAAGTGGAAAAATCAGGCGTGGCTGATCACATATGGAGACCACCGCCCTCTGTGGGATCAGGTTGAGATCATAGACAAAGGGCACCATTGGGAAATTCGTAAACTTAAGGAATCAGGCCACAAAAATCTCCTGAGCCGACCAAGCATAGAAATGAATACGATATGGGAACCGGTGATAAGAAATGCCAGAGAAAAGCGATAATATCAACAAAACTTTGCAATATGAGGTCTGGTAAAAACATGCAATGATAACAGCAAAAATTGCAATATGGGCACTGGTAGAAAAATGATGCTGAAGACATTAGGCTTATAATACCCAGAAATTCATATACAGATGTCCTCAAGGACACATGAGCCAGTAGATAAAGGCGTTAGTTAGATCCAGTATCAGGACCCAAAGAGTGTGAGTCCAATACCTGGTTAAGGCAGTGGAGAACTTGGAGAGGGTAATAACTGACATCCATTAAAATGGCACATGGAACTAGAACAGTCTACCCCAGTGAGCGAAATAAAGATTTCAGTTCGACATTCCAACCACCTGAAGAAGGCCGGAACGTACAACTTTGTAACAAATATGGCGACAATAGTCCGAATAGTGTAAATAATGGAAGATATGTTAGGTTGCAAACAGACCATGGCCCTCTATTAACCATATATTGAAGAAAGAAATACCTACGCATACAGACATAATAGACTACAGCACTGGGGAACAATCTTAGTAAACTATCTATAAATTAGGATTTGCGGATGGATTATCAAGATTAATAACTTTGCATTTGAGGAACTAAAAAGTGAAATAGAAATAAAAAAAAAATCATTTTGTTCAACGTAGTACGAGAGTTGCCAGCTACCCTGGAAGAAATAAATGAAAAAGTGGAAAATGACATCTTTATTGCAAAAATAAAAAAAAAAGCAATTGAAAGAAAGACGGAAATCCACCCTTACTCGATATGCAAAGATATAGTAATACTCGAGCAAAAAGTTTTAATATCTAGTGCGTTACAAAAGCGAATATTGAAGGATTTTCATAGGGACATCGTGGTATTTCAAGACTGAAATCTCTGATGAAAATGTTCTTATATTGGACCAGAATAGACACAGTTTTTGAAAAAATAGTGAAAGCTTGCAGAGGCAGGCAAAGAATTCAAAGACCTTTGTAAGATGTTCTCTATTGAGCATAAAGCTATTAAAATATATAACAGTGGTGAAATACCAGGGATCAATCTTTTTACCGCGAATAAAAACTAAGGTCGAATAAAGTCAAAATCCTTCGATAAATCAACTTGATAAGCAACATAATTAATAATTAGTTTTCTACTGAATAGAAGTTGTAGTAGAAAGTAGGCCAGAAATAATGCAAGCAAAATGCAACACTGTACAACTCAATGGAACAAAAATGAAATTTCCATGATTAGAATTCCATTAGAACGAGTATAGAAAGATCTGTAGCAATATTTCTTAGATTATTTAAAGAACTATGCTATAAATAGAATGTGGTTTATAATGAAACATTTAACAAGAACAGCGACGTAATTGTCAGCGAAAGAGAAGACTTACATGGATTTATTAGGTCAGTAATGGTTATTAAAAACATATTTTGTAGTAAAGTTCACCTACTACAAGGCTAAAGAGACACTCAATGCAGGGGTTAATGAATGAAGTCTGTAATATGAATATAATAGGGGGAAGTATGAAATGAGTATTGTGCGTATAAGAGGTATAAACAAAGATTTATCCTTGACTTGAAGAGAAAAAGATTGTAAGTCTGCGTAAACGATTTTGAACTCTATAAAGGCGAGTAAGTAAGGACTGGGTAGCCCCAGGCCAGATGTCGAAGTAATACTTCATTCTTTGTCCAGTCTGAGTGTTGTGACGATAAAGCATGGCAGAAAGAGTCAGGTTCTTTCTAAATTAGTAAAATAAGACCACCATTTTCCGACAACTTCAGCGATGTGTCGTATATTAGTTCTACTTGAGGTTTGGAGTGAACAAAAAATGTTTAAAGTGTTCCGCTTCGTTCGAAGTGCAGGCGTTTATCAAGACTGGAGGAAATCCAATCAATGATGATGAAATGATAATAGCTTTTTTTCATGTATTGAAAGTTACAAGCCAGTTTTCCTCCCTATTATTGGAAGGATCCAAAAATATTAGGATTTTTTAGAGGTGATTTCAGAAGTATTATTTTCATATGTTTATTAATGATCTGAGAATTTTACTTGGAAGAGAATTTGCTGCTAAATACACACATTTTATATATATATATATATATATATATATATATATATATATATATATATATGTGTGTGTGTGTGTGTGTGTGTGTGTATTTTAAAAATCCAACTTTGACAAAAAGTAATATTTGCGAAAGAACGGCTTAAATTTTTAAAAAATAAACTTTCAATACAATTTTCAAAAAACGAAACTGTAGCTATTTTAGACATAAAATAATTGGAACAGCACTTTTTCTGCTACCGTGGCTTTTACCAATCAACTATCGCCAGGCGGTAATTTATGGCCTGACGATACTTGATTGGTAGAAACCACGGTAGCAAGAAAGTTGGCGTTCGAAATATTTTATATCTTACATATATATATATATATATATATATATATATATATATATCTGAGAGAGAAAGGACAAATGGAATAAAAGTCCATAAAAAATAAAAAATAGTATGGAAACATGAAAAATTTTGAGTAGCGATTTCAAAATGCACGTGAGAGAATCATGTAAGATTGTAGTTTAAAGACAGTCAAATCGACTTTGCTAACCGAACGCTCCTCTGTGGCCGAAACGGTTAAGGCACGTCAG